CAGGGTGACTTTGGACCAGTTACCAGGAGATGGTGAGTTCTAGTTCTGTCTTAGGCATGAAAGCCAACTGGGAGTCTTTGGGCCAATCACCAAGAGACGCTGAGTTCTAATCCCACCTCAGCCAGAAAAACCAGCTGGATTCGCTTAACAACTGTGTTACTAACTTAACAACTGCAGGGATTCACTTAACAACTGTGGGAAGTAAGGTCGTAAAATGGGTCCAAACTCACTTAACACATGCCTCGCTTAGCAGCAGAAAGTTTGGATCCGGTTGTCGTAAGTTGAGGAAGGGTTACCTTTTGGAAAAACGAGGGAGTCCGAGAACAGGCTTGAAATTGATCAGATGTCTGCAAGGCAGGTTTAGGTTCCGTTCCGATTTGGGCAAGGCCTGGATTTGGAAAAAACGACAACAGATTTTTATTTTCCATTTGCTGCAGGCTATCTAAAGGGGATAGGAAAGAACTAAAAGGGAAGAACAGGATAAATTTAGCCTACAGCATTCTGCTTGCTGCAGGGAAATAATTAACTGGATATATTTACTGTACCTCTGGAGAGGGAATATTATTTTGCCCAAAGGTAATTTTATTTTGCCCCAAAAAGCAAGGTTCTACATTTAGGCAAGAAAAACCAAATGCACAGGTATAGTACAGGGGGTACCTTGCTCAATAATAGCAACTGTGAGAGGGACCTCGGAGTCCTAGTGGACAATCACGTAAATAGGAGGCAGCCGTGTGCTGCAGCTGCCAAAAAAGCCAACACAGTGCTGGGCTGCATTAACAGAGGGAGAGAATCAAGATCCGGTGAAGGGTTAATACCACTTTACAAGGCCTTGGTAAGGCCACACTTGGAATACAGCATCCAGTTTTGGTCACCACGATGTAAAAAAGATGTTGAGACTCTAGAAAGAGTGCAGAGAAGAGCAACAAAGATGATTAGGGGACTGGAGGCTAAAACATAAAGAACAGTTGCAGGAATTGGGTATGTCTGGTTTAATGAAGGACGAGGGGGACATGATAGCAGTCTTCCAGTATCTCAGGGGCTGCCCCAAAGAAGAGGGAGTCAAGCTATTCTCCAAAGTGCCTGAAGGCAGGACAAGAAGCAACGGGTGGAAACCAATCAAGGAGAAAAGCAACCTAGAACTAAGGAGAAATTTCCTGACAGTGAGAACAATTAACCAATGGAACAACCTGCCTCCAGAAGCGATGAATGCTCCAACACTGGAAGTTTTCAAGAAGAGACTAGACAGCCATTTGTCTGTAATAGTATAGGGTTTTCTGCCTGAGCAGGGGGTTGGACTAGAAGACCTCCAAAGTCTCTTCCAACTGTGAATTCCAGGACCCTCCCCAAGAACTGGGTGCCCTCAAAGCAACTGTTTAAGTTGGGTCCCCAACCTGTGGGCCGCAGCCAGGCTGGGCAGTGCACGCACATGTGCACGCACACCCCCACTTGTGCTAGCACGCAGCTGTGAAAACAGAATGTTGTGCCGTGGGGCACAAAAACAGGACGCCGTGGGGTGCAAAAATAGGATGCCACTGCACTGCAGGGCGCAAAAATGGGGTCCTGTCGCACCACAGGGCACAAAAACACTCGCCGTGCCACAGGATGCAAAAATGGGGCACTGCGCTGCAGGGTGTGAAAACGGGACACCTCCATGCTGTGGGGCACAAAAACGGGATGCTACCGCACCGTGGGATGCGAAAACAGGCACCGTAGGGTGCAAAAATGGGATGGCTCTACAGTGTAGGGTGCAAAAACGGGGCACTGCATTGCACAAGAACGGGACAGGCCTAGTGAGTATCAGGTGGGCACTAGCACTACCCCGTTTGCATTGCGCACGTGCGCACACGTCTGTGTAATTCTGCCTCCTCCCTTTCGCTCTGGTCCGCCAACCGAGAAAGGTTGGTGACCTCTGGTTTAAGTAACTAATAGTACAGGATTTTATTTTATTGTAGTGATGTCAAGGATGAATCTTTGGCTGCTATGTGCCTCTTGTGTTTCATCTTGCCTTTAGATTAAGGGGGGGGGGGTTAAATGGAGAAACGAAACCTCTTCAATTCGGCTGAGGAGCATGAAAGCCTGAAGCCTTGTCAAGGACACCATAACGGGTGCGGGTTTGAAGCAGACGGTTCCCATAACAAAGTGAACATGTTGATACGAATTACATAAGGCATTGCGAGTTTGGCTGGGAAAATTATTGTTGAAATCTATGAATTGGTGCCGAAACCTCAGAGTTAGTTTTGCTTCGACAGAACTGTGCAGTGTATTCAATAAACAGTAAGATTTTCGGAGACGAATGAACCTGGAGTTTTATTTGGATTCTCGAGCTGGATGTTGATAAAGCGGTTGCGTCTTCTCAGCAGCATTTAAGTAGCCATGTGCGCCCTCGAGAAATAATGGCGCCTGGTCCTCCAGACTTCCTGTCAGCTGCCACCTCACACTTGTTGCTTCTGCTTCGTTACCATGTGGTGACAGCCTGCCACGGGCTCTGGGGAGGATGGATGGGAGACGGAATGCTTGACGGGAAAGCGGAAGTTTTAACGGCTGTATCTCCCTGGGATGCTGCTTCAAGGGCATCCAGCTGAGAGAAGAACCCAGCTACATACCAACGAATGCTTGACTGTTTTAAAAACTTCCTGTTTGAACCTTTTTGGTTATGCAGTACACTCGATTTTAATAAAACGATACCTTTCTCAACCAATGGAGCCATGGATCGTATCTATTTAGAGGTTTGAGTGGAGGCAGGGCTGACATTTCCCATAAGAGACAGAAAATTGGGCATAATGCAATATACTTGCAATAAAATGTTATTTGCTTAAGATAATCCAAGACCAGCCAGCCATATTACACACCAGACTTCTTTTTTACTCGGGCGTCTAGATGTGCAGAGATAAAAAATCCTGGAATTGTTTTTAGCAACGGTGCCAAGAAAGCCTGATGGGAATAAATTTGGGTAAGGCTAGTCAATAGCTTTATTAGAACTGTACACAGCATGAAAGTCTATTAGATAAGCAAAAAAAATATGGCATACTTCATGGAAATGATTTTTTTTTTGAAAATTTTATTGATTTTCTAACATTACATTTATAGCTTTGAAAAACAGCGTGGCGGCTGGTATAATTCGATTACATACAAATATCATCAATACAAATCTCAAACTATTACAATAGGTATTTCTTCTCTTTTCCCCTTAATATGTACCGTCTCATATTTGAATTAATATACTTCTCATTCTATCAGTCAAATAAAAAATAACTTTCTTAACAATTATCAATAGTGTATCTTGAATACAAGATATTATTATGAATGGAGATAAAGAAAACTTTTGATTATTTAATACATAGAAGTATGAATATTAACATAAATTTGAACGTTGATTTGTTTATAAAGGTTATGTAGAGGTGATTAAGATATATAGATAGATAAGACGTGTATCCTGCATACCAGATTTGGTGAGGAACTGTGATGAAGGGAATTGGGAACATTTAAAAACTGGGGAAATGATAAATATTAAACGTTAAATTTCAAATGTCAGTGGAAAATTAAAATTGAGAAAAAGTCACTAGGACATTGATTGCCTCCAAGATGGAACGTTAAAACAATCAAGATATATATAAGCTAAAAACTATTGATAATTGGAAATGAACTTTTTTTAATTGAATAATTGTCCTGTGTTCCCGGGAGGAACAGTGGTCGGAAGAGATTGTAAGAACACAGTCAGAGAGAATCATGGATTTACAGTTAGTCCTTGACTTACGACCACAATTGGTAAGCGAAGCAGATGTCAAGCGAGATTTGCCCCATTTTAATGACTCCCCCCTTGCCAAAGTTGTTAAGTGAATCGCTGCAGCTGTTAAGTCATTAACACGGTTGTTAAATGAATCTGGATTCCCCCCTTGACTTTGCTTGTCAGAAAGTCAGCAAAAGGGGATCACGTGACCCCTGGATGCCACAACCGTCGTAAATACGAGTCAGTTGCCCAAGCGTCTGAATTTTGATCGCGTGACCTCCTGGGGATGCTGCAACGGTCATTAAGGTGTGGTGAAAAACAGTCCCTTTTCCAGTGCTGTTGTAACTTCAAACAATCACTAAAGGAATGGCTGGAAGTCCTTATACCAGGGGTAGGCAACTTGGGCTCTTTTATGACTCATGGACTTCAACTCCCAGAATTCCTGAGTCAGCATGAGGGAAACTTTGGCCCCTTCATGACTCATGGACTTCAACTCCCAGAATTCCTGAGCCAGCATGGGGGAAACTTTGGCCCCTTCATGACTTACGGACTTCAACTCCCAGAATTCCTGAGGCAGCATGGGGGAACTATGGCCCCTTCATGACTTATGGACTTCAACTCCCAGAATTCCTGAGGCAGCATGGGGGAAAATTTGGCCCCTTCATGACTTGGGGACTTCAACTCCCAGAATTCCTGAGCCAGCATGACTCAGCTTGGAAACCTCTCCTTTCCCCCTCAGCATGGCTGGCTCAGGAATTCTGGGAGTTGAAGTCCACCAGTCATAAAAGAGCCAAGGTGGCCTACCCTTGCCTTATACCCCCCTGTGTGAGGAAGTACAAGGATCATCTAGTAGACTTCCTGCCTGAGCAGGGGGTTGGAGTAGAAGACCTCTAAGGTCCCTTCCATCTCTGTTATTCTGTTCTGTTCTGGTTGTAAGTGAGAAAAACGGTCACAAATCCCTTTTTTTCCCAAGGCCATAGTAACTTTGAACAGTTACTAAAAGTGAATGGGTTGTAAGTTGTGTGGTCTGTGTGTAGAGAAAAAGACGGTTTGAATTAGGACCCCCAAACAGCCTGCCCCCCCCTTTGCTTCTCCCCAAAGGGCTGAACGAGTAAGAAGCGAGCAGACCCGCTTTAGTTGGGTCTGTTTAGTACCGAGATTTTAATCATTTTTTTAAAAAAAATTTCCCTCGGTGTTGGTAAATGTTTTCCATGCATGCTTTTCTGAACACTGTTTTTTATTTTTTGTTTTTGTTCTTGTTCTGCTTTTCCAGAGTTTTCACATCCCTGACGATGAATCCTGTCTATAGCCCCGTTCAGCCCGGGGCTCCGTACGGGAATCCTAAGAGCGTCGCCTACACAGGTAAAATTGTTTACAAAAATGACACGTCGTGTTGTGATGTAGGCATGCTCCAGAGCCATTGCAGAGGCAAGATTCCTTGCAGGGGTTGTTGTTTTCTCCCCCCCCCGCCACACCCCTTCTAGCACTGATGATGTTCCCTAGTTGGGTCAGGAAATGTCTGCAAGAAGATAACCAAACTCAGAGAGCAGCAAAGACCCTATAGTTGTTGTAATCCTCTTCCTCCTCTAGTTTGCAAACCCCACTCCCTTCTAGCACTGATGAGGTTCCCTAGTTGGGTCATGAAACGTCTGCAAAGAAATCACCAAATTTAGAGAGCACCAAGGACCCCACAGTCGTCGTCCTCCTCTTCCTCCTCCTCCCTCTCCTTCTCCTCCTCCCACCCCACCTCCCTTCTAGCACTGATGATGTTCCCTAGTTGGGTCATGAAACGTCTGCAAGAAAACCACCCAGCTCAGAGAAGCACCCAGGACCTTGATTGGCTCAATAAATGAGATAAAATCTTGGAAGGAATTTATTCCTGTGGGCTGCACAACAGGGGCCTGTTTTTAAAGGAGTTTTAGTTTGTGATCCAGAGGAATTACACAGATGGAGGGAGGAGTGTGAGAGACCGGGGTAAGCAGAGAATGTTCCAGCAATAGAGAGCAGCACATGACAATAAAAGGATAAAAGAGCAGAGGCCACGTATTTTAATTTGTAACGCAGAAAAGCTTGAATTTTTGTGTGTGGGTTTAGCATGGATAGAGAGGGCTTTGAATAGTATTCTCTCCTTGACTTTTGCGTTGAAAAGAGAAAGAACGTTCAGAGAAAAAGAACTTTCTCTCCCACATCATGAGCCATTTTCTTGCCTTTAACAATGAACGGTGCATTATAGGCATTCCTTGAGTTACAACTGTTCATTTAGTGACTGTTCAGAGTCTACAGTTATAAAGACAGATAAGAAAGACAGACACAAAGATAATGAATGAATAAATATTGATAGACATGGATAGATAGATGAATAAAAAGACATAAAGATACATAATGAATAGATATAAATAGATAAGAATAGATATATAGATACATAGACTCATGTGTATATGCATATAGATAGAAGATAGATATAGATAATAGATAAATGTTAGATAGATGAAAGATAGACATAGATGGATATAGATAGATACATAGATAAATAGATGGATAGAGAAATAGATGATAGATGGTAAATAGATGATAGATAATAGAGATAGGTAGATGATGGATAGATAGATAGATAGATAGATAGATAGATAGATAGATAATTGATGCTTAGATAATAGATGATAGATGGATAGATAGATGATAGAAGATAGATATAGGTGGATGATGGATAGAAAGATAAAAGATAAATGGATAGATAGAGATAAATGATAGATAATTGATGCTTAGCTAAATAAATGATAGATGAGTAGATAGATAAAAGATAGATAGATAGATAGATAGATAGATAGATAATTGATGCTTAGATAATAGATGATAGATGGATAGAGATGATAGAAGATAGATATAAGTAGATGATGGATAGATAAATAGATGATAAATGGATAGATAGATAGAGAAATGATAGATAGATAATTGATGCTTAGCTAAATAGATGATAGATGGATAGATGATAGGAGATAGATATAGGTAGATGATAGATAGATAATGATAGATGGATAGTTAAATGATGGATAGTTAAATAAATGATAGATGGGTAGATAGATAAATAATAGATAGATAGATAGATAGATAGATAGATAGATAGATAGATAGATAGATAGATAGATAGATATAAATAGACATTGTGTTATTTTAAAAAATAAAAGACGGGCCTTCAAAGCTGAAAACTGAAAATGGGTTGAAAATGAATTGGGCTTTAGGACAAACGTTGAGAACATTTAGAAACATCAAAACTCTCCATGCCCGTCTGTACTTCCACGCGGACGCAGATTCTCATTCTGGGTTTTATATCAGCTCAGCTACACCCGACCCTTTCCACCCCATTCAAAAAAAGCGATGCCCGCCTTAAGCTCAGCTCTGGGGTCTGGGGTGTTAAATCTCTCTCCCCCTCTCTTTCTTCCACCTCTTTCAGCCAAGTCTCTTTGGAATATTCTCCGTTTTGGGACCTAACCCTATTGCCACGAATTTGCAGACTCCCCGGGGCCTCTGTAGTAAATTTTAGCTCTTTGAGTAACAGCCACAATCTGATCTGTTCTCCTTTACCGCTGAATGTTGATATTAATTAAATGATTCTTGGGGGGGGGGGAAATCAATGGAAGGAATTTGGAATTCTTTACCCGTAAATACCTTCCTATTTTTTCCTTGCCATTGAGAAAATATATCCTTGAGGTTCCCCGAAAAGCAAAACTGCCACAATTGGAAGGGGAAAAAAACAACACTCTCTAATGTTTAGTGTTAGATTCTTTGTCTGTCCGATGTACAGAAATATTTGTATTTATAATAAAAGTTTTTTGCCACCCAACTTGGGTCAAAGTATTCCGGGCGGTTTGCAGCATAAAAACATTAAAAAAGCAGCAACAACAACATTAAAACAATGAAATATGTACAGGTAGTCCTCGACTTCACGACCACAATTGTACCCGAAGTTTCCGTCGCGAAGTGAGACCTTTGTTGAGTGAATTTTGCCCCGTTTTACGACCTTGTCTTGCCACCGTTGTTAAATGAATCGCTGCCGTTGTTAAGTTAGTCACACCGTCGTTAAGCAAATCCGGCTTCCCTCATTGACTTTGCTCGTCAGAAGGTCGCAAAAGGGGATTGCGTGATGCCGGGGTTCTGCAACTGTCATAAGTACATGCCAGTTGCCAGGCGTCTGAATTTTGATCACATGACTGCGGGGGACTCTGCAACCGTCACAAATACGAGTCAGTGGCCAAGGGTCCCAGTTTTGATCACGTGACCCTGGGGATGCTGCAACAGGGTGTGAAACGGTTCTCAGTCACTTTTTTCAGAGCCGTTGTAACTTCAAACGGTCACTAAACGGACTGCGCTAGTAAGACCAGACTTAAAAAAACATCCAGTTTTGGTCCCCACGCTGTAAAAAAGATGTTGGGACTCTAGAAAAAGGCCAGAGAAGAGCAACTAAGGTGATCAGAGGACTGGAGGCAAAAACATATAAAGGACAGTTGCTGGAATTGGGTCTGTCCAATTTTATTGAAGAGAAGGATGAGGGGGGGACATGAGAGCAGTCTTCCAGTATCTCAGGGGCTGCCCCAAAGAAGAGGGAGTCAAGCTCTTCTCCAAAGCGCCTGAAGGCAGGACAAGAAGCAGCGGATGGAAACTAACCAAGGAGAGAAGCAACCTGGAACTACGGAGGAATTTTCTGACATTGGCCACAGTGAGTTGGTCATGGCTAGTTGTCCTGCCACAAGTTGGCCGTGGCGAGTTGGCCACACCAAGCTGGCCACTCTGAGTTGGCCACAATGAATTGTCATGCCACGATTTAGCTGCACTGAGTTGGCCACGGGAAGTTGGTCCTGGGAGTTGGTCACAGTGAGTTGTCCTGCCCCGAGTCGGTCACGGCAAGTTGACCACGGTGAGTTGGCCACAGTGAATTGCCCACAGTGAGTTGTTTTGCCACGAGTTGGCCGTTGCGAATTGGCTGCACCGATTTGGCCTTGGTGAGTGGTCCCATTCTACAGAGAAGAGCCACAAAGTATTGTGATTCCTCGCCAGCCAGTGGACCCGGCAGCTGAGTCTGGGGAATCAGAGGGGGAGGAGGAGGAGGGGCCTGGAGTGACATCGGAGTCAGAGGAAGGCTTTGAGGAGCTCCAAGACATACAGTCGGACGAGGAGCCTGGCCCCTCTACTCGCGCTCAGGCTGAGACACAGCTGTGCTGGGAGCCTGAGTTGGACAGTGATGAAGAACAGCTGGGACAAATCCCGGATGCACGAAAGTGCCGGCAGGCAGAGAGTGTAGGACAGAGGGATGCAATGGGGCGGCTCCAAAGGCAAAGGAGAAGGCATTAGGAAGCCACACCTGGGCTGCATCATAAAAGGGAAGGTGTGAGAGGTGCTGACTGCCGAAAGCAACCGTTCGTGTTGCGGAATCGTGTTTCTGTGAACTGTGTTTGTTTGTCTTTGGACATTGACTCAGGTCTGTGAATAATAAAAGGGGTTGGTTTTTTCCTGTGGTTCCAGCCTGCTTGTTTGGGAGAGGACCTTCTCCTTGTGAGCATAACAAGGACTCACGTGGGCTGGGACAGAACACAAAGTTGCTAAACTGTGTGATGAACGGTTGCGGGAACTAGGTATGCGTAGCCTAACGAAGAGAAGCCGCAGGGGGTGACATGATAGTCTCTTCCAATCCTTGAAGCGCCGTCCCAGAGAAGAAGGCGTCCACTTATTCTCCAGAGCACCAGAGGAGAAGACAAGAAGCCATGGGTGGGACCTTCTCAGAGGAACCGTCAACGTGGAAATCAGGAGGAATGTCCTGATTCCTTATTGGAATAGTTTGCCTCTTGCAGCAGTGGGTGCTCCATCACTGGAGCCTTTCAAGACAAGATTGGACAACCATATCTGGGATGGTATAAGGACTCCTTGTCTTGGCCCGGGGGCTGGACTAGAAGACCTCCAGGGCCCCTTCCAGCTCTCGGAGTCTCATTCACTGTACCTCGCATAAATCTATTTTTTTAAAAAAATCTGGGGTTAAACTGAAAATAAATTCTGGAAAGGTGGAAGAGAAAGAGAAGAGGCCCCCCGACGGCAACACAAGGATGATGGATTCAGTTGTTCCGCTGTTCCGTTGGGAGACCCAGAGCCGGAGAAGAGTGTGGCCGTCAAGAGTCAGCAGCAACTGGATGGCATATAATCAATTAAACTGAAAAGCAGACTTAGGAAGAAAGTTTTTCTTATCCAGCAGGCTGAATTCTAAGGAACACATCTCTCCGCAAGCAATTGAGTTAGGATTAGTCTGAATCCGGCTCTTTATAAGCTTGAGTGGTCCCGTTTCCACGTGACTGGAGTGTTATTCTCAGCCGCTGGGC